CCTTAAACCCTTCCGCTTGAGATCGCCCAGATGCATTTGCAAACCAGCTGACATTGGTGCCACGCCAACCTAGAATGGCCATTCGATTTACATTCACGGAAGACCCACATAATGAGTTACGCTTCTTTCTTGCTCAAAATTCAACCCGGGAGCCAACATTGAACTGAGGGCGTTCGGTTCCAGGTGTTCGGAGGTTCAGAGCTTTGAGGCTTCAACTTTAGGTCCAGGTTTGCCTTGGATAGTGACCAACTTGTGCGATTCTTGAGGGCAGCTCCATAAAAAAGAATGCAGCTTTTCAGCCAATGATGTGAAAGAAGAACTACTCGGAATCGAGAGTAGGGATTTTCCTGTGCATTTCGGCTCTTGAGGCTTCATGTGCTTGAGCTTCTGAGGCTTTGGCTTTGCCTACACCTCAGACCCTAACCCAAAACCTGGCACCCTAAGCTCTTGTCTTGTACCCAGGAAGTGATTCACACTTGGTGCTTCTCGGCACTCACAGCTCAAGTGCCATGGAAACTACTACCCAAAATTCCATTCAAGCTCTAATTGAGAATGCACAAGAAGCAAGAATCAAAAATCGTTCTGGAAACGTCCGCAGCTGCAAGTAATTCTGAATCATGTCGGGCGCGAGGCACCCGGTTGGGAGAGATCTAATCCCCATAATCTCGATCTCTATCTACAACCCCCCTTAGCAACCCTTCCTAAACCCTAAACCCTACATCCTAAATTAACCCTAAACCCTAAAACCCTAAACCATACATCCCTAAATTAACCCTAAACCTCAATCCCTAAATTAACCCTATCCCCTACTCCCTAATATGATTCCCCAGCCCAGGCACTACCCGGAGCCGAAGCTGGAACCAAATTCTCAGCATCCGCGCTGTACCTTGGGGCTTCTTTCCTGGAGTAGTTCTACAGGGTCTATCTAGATTTCACACAGGGTTTATATGGTGTAACATGTTTACGACTTAGGATTGGGATGATATGGTTTTGTAAGATTCCTACTTACAGATTCATGGTTTTTCTGTGGGGAGTAAATGTAAGGATGGTGTAATTAAGGATCGTAGCTTTGCCTCGGCTAGTCTCAGTTCTTGGGTTGCCAAAGCCCAGCAGGCTAAAGTCTCAACCCAAAGCAAGGACAAGCCAATCACCTGTCAGAAGAACCCAGAGGCGTACTACGAGATTACGTGCTCGGGCGGGAGTGACAGCACAGAAAACCCGTGGTAGGTCGACAAAGTAAGGTTTCCTTGGGGTGTAAACTGTTCCCCATATGGCAGAAACACATGTGTGGATCTACATCTTAATAGGAACTGAAATACAGGAGTACCACACAAAACTGAAGGAATGTTTGCGCAGGCATGTGCGTGGCTGGCCTGGAGCACGTGATTCGCAGCTTGCTAATGCATTTGCATTTTAGTGGTGCTCAACAGGCTACACATACTGGATTAATTATAGGTGTATTGGGATTACGTTGGAGCTACTATGTGGATCCACCCTGCTCGCCTCTTAGAACCGGTACTTCGCAGGAGCTGAATGTCTCAGCGTGCAATGCACATAACTGTAGGGTAGCATACCCCTAAAAATGCACCATGCTCGTGATGCTCGTGCGGCTCGCGCGGCGAACGCAAAGGTGCAAACGCTGGCCGTCCCGCTCCATACCTCGCAATATTGCTGGGCGCAAGTTCTACAAGCGAACCCCAAATCCCTAGTCGGTCCTTGCCTTGCGTGCTTTGGTATTGGTGCAAAACCAAGAAAACCATTTTTCCTGTTCATGTAGGATGAGGGCTATGATAGCTTAATCAGTTGATGACGGGGGCGGGCAGGGCCCTATGAGGGCTTTCAATACCTAAGCTTGTGCTCATGCTTGTTTGGGCAGATCCGGATCGCTATCCTATGACTCATCGCTACCTAAATCGTGGGCGCCCGTCACCCAAAGCCGCGCAATACTCAGCAATCAACATAGCAACGAGAAGGTTACTGCGCACGTGCTAGCTAGACTTCTGCCTAGAACCAAGTGATGTCTATTCAAGTATTTTTCATGCTGTCATACTGTCCTTATTCTAATGCAGATCTTCGGCTTCCGAGCAAGACATCTGAGTTGGGCGTTTACACCTACACGGTTTGTAGCTGGTGGGATTGTCACCTCAAACTGGGTACTTTGTGCATGCTAGAGTACTTGTTAAACAACCTGCCTTCTGGGAACGGCAGGCTTGCCAGTCTGCCAGGCCACAAGCAACCGAGAGCTTCCAATGTGAAGTTTAGTTGTAGGAGTAGGTTTAACTGCTGCATGTCTGCAATGAAAGAGAGAGTGCAATTGCGTCTATAAGTACATGCGTATCTAAAGAACGAGGTGACAGACTCCAAACTTGAAGCATGGCCTGAACCAAAAGCCTTGCCAAACTTGAAGGCCTCGATCCGTGCTATACCTTTCACCTGAAAGTCTAGAAGCCCAGGAAGGTGACATGATCTGAGAAGGAGCCTCCGGTAGGAGAAATCAAAGGGCAATGGAATCCGTACGCATCCATAGATTTCAAAGAATTCCGCCACTTGAACCCGCCTCATGGGCAAAGATACGGCCATTGCAGGAAAACTTTAAAAGCGTCTCTGTTGCTCAGATGTGGCTAGTGACATTATGGACTGACTTTGTGGTTTTACCTCAATGGTACGGGAGAATTTGTGTTGAACAATTGCATGCCATAGTATAGCGGGTAACCACGGACATATTCGGAGGACAAGCCGTACGGAGTCACGAATGTTGCGGCTGCCTTTTGCTGGCTTTGGCTGGGCAATAATTGCCAACAGTCCTGCACTCGGAGGTCCTGAACTATTTAAGAGCATAAGTAATTAGATTGGGATTCATGGTGTAGCTTACCCATAATTATAGGGATTATGGGAAGATTCTCTAGTTACCATTGAATCTGCTACAGTGCACCTGGACTGATGTTCTAAGAAGGCTACCGCAAGCGCTTCGTACTTCAGCGCCGTGGAGGCTCTGCCGAGTTGAGCCGCAAAGGTGGTCGACAAAGACGGGGTCTGGTGTTCACGGCTTAGCGTTGACAGAAATAAGCCTGCATCACCTTTAGCTCCATAATTTCTGGGGATTGCAAGACTTAAGGGAACCTAGGTGATGCAACATTTCCTCCATGAACCACAGGGACTAAGATAGGTCTCAGACTCCAGGATTGAGGGTTGGAAATAGGTTTAAAGCTCTTAGGCTTCCGATACGCCACCGCATGTTGACCTACTTGGCTTGGGGGCTGCTGGAATATATTCTGGTTTTGTGTTGGCGGGGTCCTTACGCCGGGCTCGAATGTTCTATCAGGTTTACAAGTCTTTCATTCACAGCTGCTTGACAAAGGTTCTGATCAGGAAGGAATGCCGGAACTCATGTAAAGGAAGACTGCTGAAAACACCACTATTCAAGTTGCAGCTTCTGTCGGAGGCTGGCAATCTCACAAGTCAGGCCAGGCTCCAGTCAGGATGTTTAGTGATAGCAAGCGCAATGAACGCATTGTGATAGCAATCGCAATACTTCCATAGGTTAAGCGGGTTTGGGGAGTTCCGGGGTTCGTGGCTTGCGCTGTTGCAGAGAGCTAAAGAAGCGTGATAAGCAACAAGCAGGCTATCCCTATCTCCTTAAAAAAAGTTTCAGACTTGACTGTCGGTTTCCGGACGGAGTACCACCCCAAACCCCAAACCCACCTGGCCTGTGTAGGACCAATGCTTGTGCAGTCTCAATTGTGTATCACCATCAAGGATAGGACCGCGCCCTCAAAACAAGCTCCAATCGGAGAACATCTTGCACACCTTACATGCATGTTTTGTACAAGGCAAAAGCGATGCAGAGGTCGGTAGCGGAGCCATTTTCGGCTCCTTGACTCTACGCAGCGAAAGGAACGTGGAGCCTGTGGTCTAGGTACTGCAATGCTTTAACTTCCAAAATCCCTGCCCTAATTACAGTAAATCCCTCAAATGAGGAGTATTTATGCCTAGACTTATACTTATACCAAGGTTCCTCATAATCAGATCAGGTATGCTCCTGCATTGTGCGGTTCTGGAAATCCCGAGTCAGCCTAGGCATCTCGGATATGCCGAGACTCAGAAGTCCTGATCCCGCGTACGCGCCGGAACCTTTGATCTTTCCTTGTAAGGTTTACGGGGTATGTAGGCTTTAGGGTACCAATTCTGGAGAACAAAATGAAAAGGGAAATGGAAAATGCAATTGAAGCTGGGCTTATTGTCTGGTAGTGCATGCGCTTGTCTGCCAATGCTTTCCGTTTCTTCTCTCGCGGATCCTGTTTGGTGGACGCTCCAACGATTGAACCTACCCACACCACATGCAGGTGCTCTTCCGTCCTAGGTCCTAGACTCGGGACCCTTCATTTGGCAAGCTAGACAGTGAAGAGTAATGACAATAGTAGTAATATTCAGAATATTCATGTTCATAGAAAAACTATGATAACAAAGTTGCTAATAAAGATACACCCTAAACCCTAAACCCGAAAATATTAATGATTCTCAAGTGACCTTCAGACCGTAGGGATTGTAGGATTCCGTGGTATCTGCACTCGTGGGTCTCCTGTGGGGTCTCGGCTATCCGTGGAAGCTCTGGATCTTGGTGATGGTTGGTAGGGAATGGGGGAATGGAAGCTTTGAATTCCTTATCCCTTTTCACCACAATACAACCCCGATGTCCATTTCACTTTCCATGTTCCCTGTCCTTCTTCCTTTGCTTCTCCATGACAGTGATTCTCCATTCTTCCTTGCGGGGTATCCTTTGCACTGTACTCCCCTCTATCAAAGAACATACAAACAATTCCTTAGGGCTATACTATACGAAATGAAAACTATTCCTAAGAAGCCGACTGTGCAATCTCCCATCATCATCTCTATGTTCAATTCCCTCATTCCCGACTACACACCAGTCGGGAAATCTTCATCTGTCCCGGTCATAGCTTCTAATGAGCAGCTCTCAGTCGCAGGTCGCGGTGGCTTCGGATTTATGCTCCTGGAGGGGGATGAGGGAACAAAGGCTTCCTTCTGACATCTTCCTACCCTATACCTCGGATAGCCCTCACACAGCCAAAGCTTCAAAACCACCCAACCGAGCGATCAATAGCCCCATAATAACCTGAATCTTGCGCTAAGCACACTAATCCCTGAGCCCTCAACCCAAAACTCTAAACTCTGTGCACCCAATCATGTTCTGCTTTGAGGCCTTTGATCACCTACGCTCTCCTCAGTCCTGACTCGTCATCACTACCCAGTGAGTCACCGATCAATGCGCCCTCAAATCCATGCGTGGGCTTCCCCACAGTGCTGAAGATCCTTACGATAGGTTGGTCGGTGCCCTACTCATGCAGTCGCAAAATGGGATCATATGGGGACCCCGATAAAATTATGATCCCTTGTTTCACTATCACTGGGTGGGGGAGTTCTGTGCTAAGTATACGGTTCTATTTCAAGATGAACAAGGACCCTAAATGAAGCCATGCTGGGACTGTTTGCTACATCAGCCAGCAATTCGGGGTGAGGTCGCACGAGGTCGTTATGATTCGCGAGCTATAAGAAGTAGACAAGTAATCAGAACAACCTTTTCGAGATTCAGGAATTACAGCATTTCTAGATTTGAGTTGGGGCCTGAACAATAAGAACAGTCTTCTCAGGTACCATGTACTATAATTCTAGGAGTGTTGAGATGCCAAGGGGATCCTGCATTCATCGCGAAAGGCTGATGGACACAATGGCGTTTAGGTGATCGTGTTACATGGCGCCTGGGGCGCAGTGTGATGAGGAGATACACTTACAGGATCTTTGGACTAGATGTTGAAAACATGTTTGATCGTTCGAATGTTGCACACCCCAACAAAAAGCGCAAAGCTTCCCTGCTGGGCCGCCGGGTATCACATTCTCTGCCGAAATCTCAGCAGGTATCACCTCTAGTCCGTGAGACTGCAGTCAGAAGCATCTCAGTCTTTTTGAAAACGTATGGGAAGCAAGTCATCGCTTTGGATTGGCTACGGCAGTGTAAGAATTCTTCAGACTCGAGTCACGAGGTCATCCTTGCTCGCTGAAGGGTCCACCCCGATCTCAATGGCTGGCTCGCTGTTGGAGTCCGTGGTGATCCTAACTTAGGGGGCTTCATCTTGAGTTTACACTTTAGGCGTGGGCGGGTTCAGGCTTGAGGTTTGGAATCCCATCGCTCTAGCGACTCTAGCAGAAACTATTTTGGGAGAACTTGCGATCAGGTTCCAAAATTCCAGCAGGCAAAGGCTCCAATCCGCTTTACCTGACCATCTTTCTGGAGTTCAGAGTGCCCAGGGTTAAAAAGCTCAGGGTTCAGCCAGGCTTAGGGTTCACGAGAGGTACGGGGCCGGGGAAGACACAGTAGGTTACGCAAGTGTTCTGTCCGGTTAAGCGGGTGCTGAGGCCGCAGGGGCCCTTAAGAATCCCAACAGTTCTTCACACTGGCCTCATGACATGCTAGAGTCCGGCACCACACACAGAAAGCATGCCTTTTTGTGACCATAGCCTTCAGTGATTCTTACTTAGCAGCACGCAGAGCTGTGGTGGCACGCAAAGGCAAATGTGGGTTCCCCATGTAAGGCCACTTGAAAGACAAAGGAGTTACAGGAAGTAGCAAAAGAGGGAAATGACCGTCAGATTTTACCAGATACCATATGTCGTCCTGGTACTCCACACACACGCTTGCGGCCGCATGGCTACAAAATCTTTGCATGCGGCTCTAGCGGGACTAGACGGAACTAATCTGAAAAGCGCTGAACCCTGCAATGGCTTGGTCAATGCGAACAAAATCTACCACTTGCCTTTAGCAATAGGGAATGAAGGAATGGAGCACCAGTTTGTTGGGAAAATGATTCCTTCAAGCCCTGCCACGAAAAAGATTCAGTCTGGGCTGCATGAAGGAGTTCACGGAGTTGGGGTTGTCTTGGAAGACTTGATCTGACCACTTTTCGCGCAGCTCGTTCAGCCGAAGCATCTTCTTCATCTTATCCTCCAGGGAATAATGGGTCTGGCCTTAGGGGGGTCATACGCATATCAGAGACATGCAAGTGCTCCCTTCAGTAGTTTGTACTTTGGTTGATTTCGGACCTGAGCTTTTACCCTAAGCCCCCGACGCATCGGCCCTAGAATCCTAAACGCTCAGCCCTTAACTCCAAATCTCAGCCCTTGAACCCCAAACCCTCTACCACCTCAACCTGAACCCAAGCCCTGAACCGCTCTTCATCTGCTCCTCCATGCCTGCGGGCTCTCCACCTCAGCCCGTGGGCTGCTTTGAGGCGGGGGCGCAGGCTTTCCCGGGATTGGGGTTTAGTCCCCTAAATTTTGGAATCTCCCCCACATGGCGGCTGATGCAAGCATCAAGGCATGTGGAAGTTGGTTTCACTTTACTCTCTCAACTGGTGCATGTCCTGTCCATAGCCAAGTGTTGTTGACACCATTGACACCACGATGTGGAAACAATGCCCTTGTATGCAGGCAGACTGTGGTTGCTGTTGCTCCTGTTTTGTAGAAGCATCCTAGTTGTGCATACCCAACAACAAATCATGACATTACCGTGAAGTAAGCTTACGGTCAAATTACAGCACCGTACCAGAACACATCGCTTTGAAGCCTCGCTACATCAAGGTAACTGGTACAATCACAGATATAAATGGGCTCTGCAATGGTTTGGCAGGACGACATTAAAGCAATCCCAGATCTTACAGTCACCCTGAAGTACACAAATCCCCCTGAAGGCCCACATCAAGCCTGCTCACAACCCGTCCCTGAGTCAGCTCAGTATCCCTGCACAGCATCCAAAAGTCTAAAGCAGGAGGAAGTTTCTGTAAATAGGGATGCTAGAACCCATCTTTCTGGAACCCCCAAAAAAAAACCCTTAATTTCGGAAGCGCTAATCCCTATAAACCCCTACATAGTCTCAGTTTCCAGAGTATTTAGCATTGCATTTTCCATGTGATTCTCCACAATTGGGAGGCAATGTCCCTCCACATCCTGAATCTGCCAAGCCCAAGGCAGTCCCAGAAGCCTAAGGCTTGACACCTCGCCCCTCTGCTACTGGTCCATGAAGGGTTGTGCAGTGTATACACTACAAAGTCTATAAGTCCACAGGGACTGCTATAAAGGGAATAGCGCAGCCAAATATTCAGGCTCCTACATTGCTCCTCAAGCCAGAGCACATTCCGCCCTGACCTTTTCCTTCTCTTCATCCATGGCTTTGCACGGCTGGTTGCCCTGTCTTGGGCCAAACCTGCGAATTGGTGTCCTAAGTCAGCATCAAAATTCTAGTGTAGGAGTAAACTCTACTTGAAGCTCAAGTTCCAGAGGTTGCAAACTTACAAGTCCAGAAGCAGTGGTAGGCGGTAGCCAACCCAAAGCGAAGGACTGCTAAGCCTGCAGATCTGAAATTGACAAGTTGGGACCTCAACAGCATGAATAGTAACAATAACAGTCCAAACAATAAGCCCTCTTCCTCTTAGATATCCTGTGCTGAGGATGCAAGGTAGAAACAAGCGGATGCTCCCCTTTACCTAGATTGCCAAGTGCCCAAGATGGCTGCTACGGTGAAGCTGCCAACCTCCTAAGTGTGCAAAAGCAGCAGGGGTCGAATGCAGTATAATTTGGCTTTACCAGGAACCCCACCTAGACCCCACGCTTCACTCATATCCCCTGGGAGTCAAATCTTCCCTCTGATCTGCCTTGCCTTCATATCTTCAAGCTGAGGGCACTGAGCTTCATGTACCGTGTATGTCTCAACTCCGCATATCGTGGCAGTAACTTGCACAAGCAAAGTTGGGCATGTTGTAAGCAAGGTGATAACCCGACAACCCGTCACTAAGCCCCACGAGCCTCCAAGCTTACACACAATCAGGTACTATCTCCTACAAGCCCCCACAATCACTGAAAGGCCTTTACTATACAGCACCAATGATCCCCATATGGCTCTAAGTGACTTGAAGCCCCTTCGCGACCAAAGCTAGTTTGGACTTCTTCTCGGGGATAAGGATAAGAAGTACGATGGGGTTGAAAGTTAAGGGTTTAGGGTGTTTAGAATAGCTTCGGAATGAAAATCTAGGGTATGTGAAGAGGCGCGAATTCCACATGGCAGGGCAGCAAGCTTTCAAACAACACCTTCCTCCCGTTTAGAAACACCCCCTGATACTGATTTCAGGAGGATCTAACTTCTGGGAATTGCTGTCGAACAGGTTTTTACTTGCGGAGGAGGCCAACAACAAAACTGTTTCCGGCCACCGAATGTTCATTAAAGTTCTTATTGCGAGCGGTTCATCATCAATCCCTACGGCCATCACGTCACGAGGTAAGAGTTGACCACCCCCAAACCGCTTGTTATGGAAACCTCATGCAGACCTCTATCAGACCTTATGACAAGCTGTAGTCCTGAAAAGGACCATTGTGGGGCTCCATGTTTGTTTAGGAGCATGGGAGGGAAAAGCGTTCAGATGCTAATCTACAGCCCAAGAATCTCAGGCCAAACCGGAAAATCTACACCAGCGAACCGCGAGCCCGGACCGCGATACCAACGAAGGTAAAGAGCAGACACTCTACGGCAGAAGCAACCGGCAGCTTTCAGACATTCCCACAAGATGTGCAGAGTCAGCAGTAGCAGTTGCCGGGCTTTGGCAGGGTTACTTTAGCAAGGATCTGATTGGGATGTCCCTTTTCTGAGTCTCACCATCATGGGATATCAAAACAATTCTTGAAACACCGCCTTCTGTTTTCTGAAGGGCCGGTGGGCGTTTCGGATTGCTGCTCACTCGAAGATTGCTCGATCCAGCAGCGCCTCGCAGATGGTCGGATGGCCACCCGAGGTGTGCGTACCATACTTGGCTGAACTTACTCTTCCCAGAATAAAACCTGGGGGATACTCAGGCTGAGACCTGCATTATCACATGAGCCCAAATGCACAGGACCCTCATCGTTCCGAAATCCCAAGACCTAAAACCCTGAAGTACCCACCCCCAACACCCTGAAGCCCCCAAAAGCCCAGCTGGCTTCAGGAGACTCTTCATTGGCCAACTTCTCGGCCAGCGCGCGAACAGCCTTCCAGATGGATCATGATGGAAGATGAGCACCCTCCCCCTGGTCGGGTCCGGGGTTTAGGACTCAAGTAATGGAACTACATATTGGACAGCATTGGGCAGCTTGGGGGGGAAGGATGGGGGAGGGGAGCAATTACCCTAGCATCCCAATGAAAGGCAATCGTGATTGTCGCAGATCGGTCTGGGACCATCCCTCCTTATATAAAAACCCTTTGTGATGTCCTCTACACAGGCTTAGACATCTGTTCCAAAATTCCGACGATGAGCCGAAGTGGCTTTCTAAAATCGTCCTCATGCATCCAATATGATGGCTTCAGATGCCAAATCAGGCATTGGCCGAAGAAACGGATCGGACTCTTGGGAGTCTGTGGGCTTAGGGCGGGTTGCAAAATATCTGCTTCGCTGCGTGGCTTGTTTTGTAGGGCTGTGGGACATAGGAAAGCATAATGTACCAAGCCTTGAACTGCGGTTTTAAACTCTTGGGGTTTCAGGTTTGTGCATATCTGTAGGACGACAGCGACCTGCAGGTTGTAAAAACAACACGAATGAACACTCCAACACAAGGATCCGACAAATTCCGCCCCCTAGTAAAAATGGGCAAGACTAGACTAGCCATTTGTCCAAGTCCTCAAAACCAAAGTTAGCCAGCATCACACAGGAAGCCTTCGTCCACGTGGTTGTGAAGGTGCTCCGCGTACTCAACTCTTCTCTTGGGTTCGGCATCAGATCCCGTCGGACCATTAGAAGCCTGCTCGCGCTTGGATCCGCCGCTGTGTGCTTCCTTGAGCTCGCAGTGGGGGAATTCCTAGATTTCGAGGCTCCTCCGGTCTGCGACGTCTCTCCAGCACCAGATGGTACTCCAGCTACACGTAGGTAATCGTCTAGTCGGTTCCGAATTCAATCCCAAAACGCCTCAGTGATAAACCCTGAACCGAACCGTACAACCAAAATTCCCTCCAACGCCGAATACAAACCATGAACCCGTCCCTAATCCTCTCCATCGGATCCGGACCTCAGCATCTTCCTCGAATTCGAAGGTCTCCGTGTCTGGCACCTACACACTGCTTCTGACGGTCATTGAAGAGTGCCGCTTTCTGGCTTTCTGCACTTTGCATCTGTATGGCTGATATATATATATATATAGATAGATAGATATATATATATAGATAGATAGATAGATATGTATGCCTGCGAATCTGCACATTGCAGAAGATTTTGTAGGAGTCATGCTGCGAGCTATGATCAAAAAGGTCAATATTTTACCTTGACAGTATTATGTTTGCTTACGGTAGCTTACAAAACCAGTGGTGAGCTTGCGTGCGTCCTTTTGATGAGCAGATGTTACAAACTGTGGGAACAGCAAACGCTCCAAGGGCAGACTCCCAAAAACAGAGCTGACATTGCACATGGCGAAGCGTGCAGGCTGCAAAATGCTTACTGTAGCTTGCGAACATCAGGCTTTTGCTTACGACAGCCTTGATTCTGCCACTCACCCTCGTGTTTCCCCTTGAAGGAGCTTTGAACACTGCTCATGTTCCTTACCTACTGGGGGCCATACATCCTAGAAACTGATCTAGCGCAGACTCTGTACCCTAAACTCTCGAACCTGATGACCCTAATGAACCTCCGCCCCGTTCCTCCAACCCAGAACAGACCAGCCGGCCTCGAAGTAGCGCGGTTGCGAATCTAATCTCGTGCTGTCAAAGTCTGAGGCAGACCCCATGGAGTAGGCCCCCTGCATCTTTCAGGACATGTCTTGGGTCTAGGGATTAGGTTAGGGTTGAAGGTTCGTGATGATTGGCTTATGAAGTGCCTAATTAAAGCTCTGTTAAGTTCACGTGCTTTGGCTGTTGTTGGGATGCTTACTTTTAGGATCTTTCATGTTTGGGGTCCACGACCCTGCCTGCACATGGAGGGTTTAGACTTCAGAGTTGAAGGTTCGTTCAGCTCCAGGGTTTGGGGTGTAGAGCTGTTGGTCTCCAGGACTATACTTTCCATTTGGTTTCAGGGATAAGGGTCCAGAAGGGTTTTGGGTCAGAAGTGAGAACTTGAGCAATTAGATTGGAGCAGTAGCCTTGATCCTAGAGCGCATGCCCCGCCTAATAGACCGATGCTATCTTATTGTATGAGCTTACCGGAGGAAAGCTGTATCGACGGCTCCCTTCGGGGAGCGGAACTCAATGATCTTGGCACTACGTACAAGAACCATGACATCCAACTTTCAAGACACGCACCACTCTCCGGCGCAGCCCCCTTGGCATTTGTCAGATATGTACCTTACATAATCCCTTTCAAATGCCTAGAAGCTCAAGTAAGACCCCTGTCGGAACCCCAAGATTGGTTTACTTTTTGCCTGAAACCCTCCTAAACGTTCATCCGCCTTCTCGTACATCGAAGCTGGAGGGTAAGAGGCCCCATAGCCTTGCAGCATCTTGTTCATGGTGTAGGGTTCAGGGTTTAAGGTTAAATCCATCTCAGGAAGATGCGGCTAGGAGAGGAAACGTCAGGAGGTGTGGGCTGGGTTTTCTGAAAGGTCTTGGGCCTTGGGTAATGGAAATCTTGCACCCGTTTGGTTCTCGCATTGCACACAGTCAGGAAACCAAAGTAGCGCAGGATTTTCTGCATCAAGTGTAGCTGTTGAAAGATAGGACGTGATGTCGGAAGTCCTTCTGCACTCCGGAAAACTTCGGCCTTGCTAAAGGACGTCTTTTGACTACAAGTCTGGAGAAGCTCTTGTGGAAAAGCTGCGGTCAACGTAGCTTTGTCCAGATGCACGCGTTATGAGGTAGCTTGCGAGAAAATCTTAAGGACAACATCCTCTCTCTTCGACAGCCTGAAGGACTGCGCAAGGGTGATTATAACAAATGGCCCCGCGCGAACCCATGCCCATCATGCACAACAGCATCTGCTCATCTTAGCTCCCTGGCAGACCACATGTCTAATATCCAGCGGTTGACATGTCAATGTAGCGATTGCTTAAGAAAGTGTGATATATTTATGTGTCAATTCTGTGGCCTGTCTTGACCATTTCGTGACAGTCTAGCGCAGACTGATGGCTGCCCAGACGGAAAGTTAGCAACATGAACCCCAAGAAAGATCAGAATTTCATCATGAGCATAATGCATTGACCTGGCGATGTTGAACGTGAGTTGCTTCAGCAAGCGAAGGTGATGTGCCGCGCAGACTTACAGGCAGTCTGGTGAATTGCTTATGGGCCTTGCTTATGGGTCACACGGCCATACCTATGCATCCCTGAACCCTGGTGCTTGACTCAATTCAGGAATGACGCTTCTGTGCACTGAGCAAACTAAACAAAGCTTGCCCTGAGCCTGGGCTACGAGCCCCGAGACCCAGCACAAATCTTACTTTGATGGACCCGGGAGTTGGCTACTGCACTATACAACTTGCAGCCCTCCGGAGACCCTCTTGCATGGCAAACCCAAAAAATCTAGAAACCGCTAAAGAATCCAGAGTCTGGCCTGCGTGTCCTTGGTAGGACATGGCTGAGCCTTCCAAGACTTTTTGTGAATTGTGGAGCTAACATACCTGTAAGGGGGCTTCAAGGCATCTGAAATCGACGTTAAGGTTGGGAAATTAAGTGCAACACATGAGCGGATTCTTGTATACACAATCGCAAGAAGAGCTAAGGGATTAACATGAAAAGGATTTCGGTCATCGGCTCCGTGGGTTCAGCATCCACTTGTCTGGGACTCCGCTTTCCTTGCAGTATGCCGCTCCGAACTCCAAGCCTCGATCCGCTACACCGCATGGCGTTCAATGCTGCCCTTTACCCCAACGCCCTTAACCCAAACGCCCTTAACTCCAAAGCCCCACCCACTGTACTGACGCTGGCAAACTTTCATCGCTATAAAGACGGCAAGCTCAAAATCATACGCCCTCATTTAGGTAGTTGGCAGAGGTACGACTCCAAGGCTTGCGATGTCGGGTTTCTAATAACGAGTTGTCTACCACTTTATCCACAGGTAATCTTGCAAAGTAGGCCCGAAACCTTCATTCCCCAACCAGGCACCCTAGCTCCTAGGCCATAAACACGACATCCTAGGGCCTCAACCCTAAAGTTATGTTCCAAGCCCCTTAATCTAATTTCACGCATTTACATTTACAAGTGTTAACGGCTATCTTCAACAATGAGCCAGGTATGCTTTCCCGGCCTTGTGCAAAGGGTACCTCGGCCTCAGCTCTCAGGGGGAGCCACAAGTCTTAGGGGACTAAAGGATTTTGGGGCGGATAAGGTGTAGGAGTGGGGGTTTAGGTCTAGGGCTTTCCATTCACAATGAGAATTCAAACATGTTGGCGTCATCCTTACAGAGAGCCTTGATGGCACTATGGCAAAATAGTGTGAAGAAAGGTTCCGTAGTTCAACACTAAGCTCGAAACATATACAAAGAAAAAAGTTTCCTCAGAGCACGGGCATCTGAACCCGCACGCCAACAAAGCCTAAGCAAGGCTGGTTTGGGGAAGACGTTGAACATCAGCTGTTGGCTCAACCTTGAAGATCCCAGGCCCTATTCCTTGATACCATGAAGTCACTTCCGGGGCAGATCAAAAACATGACGTGGAAAGTGTTTGATAATGATATCCCTCGCATAAGGCATGCATTAAACAAAACGCTTTTCGCACATGCTGTTACAAGCAGATGCATATCGTGGCGGTTCCCCTGACAGATCCACCTTTCCTCCAATGCAAGGAACTGGAATCCCAACCCGACATCCTGCAGATGACAGACTGCACCAGCTCCAGGACCCGAATCCTGTACAATAGGAAAATGGCATAAGAAGTCATATCACGCAATTGCAAAAGTTTATAACCAACACAGAGTACAACATAAGACCAAGATCCCATGTAGACTTCACCCCGACTCCGTTGTCAACCACGACTCCAGTAACCAACTTCCCACATCCAAGATCACGGCATCATCAATGAATTTGCTCCTGAATTCGCGTTGGGCTTTGCGTCGAATCCTGAGAATGATAGGTTGATGTTTTGCACGCACAGCGATCCACATTCGCAATTCTGCGTGTATTGTTTGCAAAACCTACCGGCTTCGGCCCTACACGAAGGCGCAGCCCACGAAAAAGACCGCCTTGTGACAAGATTCAATATGCAGCTGGGGCTACTCAAGTGTCTCCGTTGCTGATTCCTATAAAGATGAATTCAAGGCTGCAAAGGCTTTTACTATCTTCCGTTATGTGTACGCAAGATGCGTGCGAAAGAATGAAATGTGTAAGTCATGTTCCTGTCTTCTGGATTACGCCGTCTTTCTTCTTTGTTTAACAAGAGGGCTGGCAGATTGCAGAGAACAAAACAGAGAACCCCCCGACAATCGCCACCATGGCTACCTAAATAGGTTAACAATATTTTTGGGCTAGAATGCAAGGTTCTACGCATCGCAGGATGGGCATATCTGCGCTCGCCGAACGCACGGATCTGAAAGCCACGGGCATGTCGACATCCATGCTTTTCTGAACGCGGGTCCGCCACACACTATCTGCTTTCCTGCGGTTAACTTTTGGACTTCTCATGACTCTCGTAATCAATTTCTACATCTGATATTCGACCTACAATCACTACCACGAGCAATACAACTGTACCTGCCGCTGCCACGGCTGTTGCTGTCACTGCTGCTGCTACTATTACTACTGTTACCACACCTGCTGCTATGCTATGGCTGCTATTACTACGGCTGCTGCAGCTACCTGTTACGGATACTGGTGTTGCGACTACGGCTGTTCTTATTGTTACAACGACGATGTATTATCACCTGAATCCCCACCATGGAAACGTCACCCTGACTGTTGCCATGCCCAAGTTTGTGCACGTTTTCCTCATTTATTGCAACAACGAATTCTTGTGGACATTCAAATATACGACTGAAGCATTGCGATAAGCGCGTTGTAAACAAAAAATAGTCCCATAGCATTTCCTGGGACCTGTAAATGCGACCCAACTGTCTCCATGGCAGCGAACGCCTTGCTGAAGGCTTATGGCTTGCTTCGAATGCAAGCTCTAAGGCTTCGCCAAACTTATCTGCTGAGCGCAATCCTAACCTGCGACTCGTGCGGTCTCAGCGCGTGCGCGATGTATACCTTACAAGGGCGTAAGTACACGGTCATGACAAATGAACGAAAACCTGAAGTGAAGGCTTTGCCGGAGATGCTATCCTTCCACAAGTTTCAAACAGAGGGCACTTTGTTTGACCTGTTTTGCATGCGCCGCTGGGTACAATCTTGCTCAACCGCGGGGAGGTCTTGTCGTATGGCAGGGTGTAGTGGCCGTCGTGAACCTCGAGATGAGAAGAAACAGGTGGCATGATGGCCCCTTGGTGAAGTCCCTTTAAGACTGGAGGTAACGCAACAAACAATCCTTGAAGAGCTTATGCAACAAGTCATGAAGATCGCATCATTACACATCAACAAGGCCAGGTCTTAAAATCAGGTTCCTTATCATGCGCCAAGATGGCGATACCATTACGATAGGATACCCCAATGTCAAGGGAGCCAGGGTTCTCCACCTTCCCATCTCAGGCCTCATTCAGGTTGCGGGGCTAATGAAGACGCGCAATCCAGTTTCAACATCCGGGCATTGGGAAAAAGTGCACCTTGATCCGCATTTACCAGTCCCAATTCGGGTCAAAGGATCCTGCAGTCAGAATTGAGACTGTATCCGCGCGTGAACCTTCTAGCAACACGTTGACCAGCCTCTGGGCTTAAGTAGGTGCTCAAGCCATTTGTGTAATGAAATGACTTAGCAGGCGCATGCAGGAGAGCTTGGGTCTGTGCATGGATCCGAGCTGGATTTCAAGCCATGCGCCTGAAGCTAGAAATCCAATGGAAGCTCAGCACAAGTCTTCGTAGCTGCCATGAACTCAACCCAGGAAAAGTTTGTCAGACAGTACAATACACGGCGATAAGATCTCCAGGACAAATACGGGCGCAGCGGTGAATTGCAGGCTGCAGGCACGGCTTATCATTTCGCCCACAACGCCCATCTTTCCCTCCCTGCAAGAAATGCGTTTGTTTGCCCTTTTAAACGGCTGTTCTACGTCCTGACAAAATGTCTCCGGAAGAACCTCGGTGGAATAAGTCCCTGCCGGACCCTGCGGGTATAAAGGCATTAGGCAGGGGATGGTACAGGTCCCTATCGAGGTTGATTCGAGCGTCTATATGTCTCAACTTCACCTCCCGTCCATGCAATTGAGAAAGGCTTGCAGGGCGAAACAAACCCAGAGCCCTAAACCCAAGTATTCATGACTCTGGGAAGTTCTAAACTAAACCTCTGTGTACTTCCCAAAAAGGACACAAACCCAAAGGGCCCCATTTTTTGAGAAACCCCAGTCTCCGCCCGCTCCTGATACATGGGGCATTGTGTGAAAAACTCCCCGTGCATTTCTCTTCTAGACCGACGGGACATGTAGGGAAT